TGTTCTTTCTTTGTAATTGTAATTGTTTATGTTTAAGTTGCTTGTTGCTGGTTTTTAGTTTGTTTTTCTGTCTTTTTGGGAGCTGACACAGCCTCTATGGCGATGGGTTTGGGGGGGTAGCTGTACTGTTACACCACATGTAATAGTAGTTTGTGTCCAGTCAAGACAACAAGACATTTTGTGCATATCAGTCTTCCCAAATCGTGTAGTACAACAATGAAAAAATATTATACATGTTTTTGCTTTAGAAGAAGCTTTTATTGCTCAACCAGAACTTGATTGCAAGGCAAGTAATGGCAGTTATTCAACTTTAAGACAATAGCAGTGCCATGAAGTTAAACTATTAAGATTGCAACTATTATTTTTGTTGTTGATTATTCACAAAACATGTCCTTGATTATTGGTCTCATTTAAATTTGTTTTTCTCTGATTAACAGTACAAAACCCAAAGAGGTTTAGATTTGCATGATTTTTTATTTAAAAATTTAAGGATCTAGAATCAGAATGAGTGATTTTTGTAAATATGTCTTACCTGTACAAAGAAAAACAAAATCCACTGGTCATTGCTTTCTTTATCCATTTGTAGTGTGCACACATTTTCAGTTTGCTTTTGTTAGAAAATGCCAAAGTTTATGAATTGGGCACACTGCTGGTAAATGCACAAGAAGACTGAGATGGGTTTTGAGGTTTCTGCTGCAGTCTCTGGCCAGTCTGCTTCCAACACAACACATATTAAAGATGACATCCAGTTTGCAGTCATATGCCAATAATTGGGTCTTTTGTGCTTCACAAAGAGTGCAAACAGTTAGTGGGTTGACCCCACAGTGTTGTGATTCCAAGAAGAATTTCCCATAGAGACAGCAGATCTAAAGGGCATTGGGTAATCGTTTTTCAAACGGCTGGTAAAAAAGTTTTGGTAAAAAAGCAAGCTGTTGATAGAGATGATGTCAGCCAATTCGATAGCAACACCTCGCTCACTTTCCATGACAACACATTCATAATCAAGGCGACCCTAAGGACTTCACATTAATCCAGAACTACTCTCCACTGTGTGTTCCAGCTCAACAGAACATACAGAATCTTCTACCCAGTGTGCAGAAATGTTCAGAAATAAGTTCACTTTCAAATTTATCTTCAGATTAACAATAAAACACAGCTTTCTTAACTTTGTTAAGAACAAAAACGTGCCAAAAGCGCCAAGAACTGTGCTTCCTTTAGTGGTCAACTGCAGCTGGATTCAAAGTGAGCTATCCCATTGACTACCATATTATAAAATGTCCAACTTTAAAGCATTAATGTGCTGTAAATGTGCCTTTGTGTAACAGCCTGGTACACAAAGAGATTTTTTTTAACCAACTGGAAACTAGAGTTAGATTTTTGACTCAGACTTTGACTAAAGTCGGCAGCAGTGTTGGCAGCTGAAATGGTTCCAGCTGCCAACAATGGCAACTGGAACCATTCCTGCCTACTGGGCCTCACCTCCTTTGACTGAAGTCACAAAATTATGTGATAAATAACACAATAAACTTCAACACAATAAACTAAAACTGACAAGCACAAGTAGAAAGGACTGTTGAAACTCAATAATTTTAACAATTAGGCTTCTTCTTAATAGAACCTGCCTGGGAGGGATGTGAGATGGGCAAATGAACTGAATCATTTCTTCAACAGATTTGATTCAGCCATGAGGCAGTCTGCAACATCGGCTGCAGACTCACCCACCCCCACTGCTGCTGTTCCACCTCTGACACCTCAGACACTTCACACCTCCTCTATTCACCCTGCTCA